GACGTGAAGAAACACATTAAACAGATGCATGACGGAACAGCTGAGGTGATTACACTGAGTCTGGAAGAAGCCCGCAGAACAATACACCACTACAAGACTCACAGGCGGCAGAGTCAGCTGCGTCACTCGTTCGGAGGCGGAGGTGGAGGCGGAGGATCCAGCCTCGAAACGAAATTCCCAGTTTCTCCACTGCAGTGTGAGTTCAGAGAGACTGCTGATCGATCCGAAACCCGCCAGTGGACTCCGCCATTACTGTTGCCAAAGGCAGTCGAGGACCGTCTCTCCAACCAGGGCACGTACGAACCTGAGGAGGGTGCACTTCCAGCGGAGGCTACAGACAGAGAGCCGACAACTGCCATGGAGGATGCCGCGGCGGCTCCAATGCAAACCTCTCCCGGCTTCCGTTGCAGCACCTGCAGACGTCGACTACCGACCTGGTCGAGTCTTCATCTGCACACGGTGTTCAATCACGGCAATAACAAACGCTCCTACAAGAAAGTCCTGCTCCACAAGGCCCTCTCTTCACCGTCAGCCGCCCAACTATCACCTTCCACAACTCCCACAAAGGTTAGATGTCGAAATTGTTATGACCCGCTTCATTTACTGTAATAATTATGATTTTTTTTAAAATTGGGTCAATCGAATTATTGAAATCTGCCTATGTTAGCCTACTAGTCCATTCGATAGATCCTAGCGGACTACTTAGGTAGCCCTGCCTGGCAGTCAGCTTACTGCGTCCGCATTGGTAGATTCCATACGTGCAGTAAAGCTGGGCAAAAAAATCGATCCCAATGGGACTAAATTCACGGCGCACGATTAGCCTTCTAGCTCAATGGTAGAGCGTTGGCTGAGCAAAAGCCTCCCCTGCTTTGTGGGTTCAACCCCCATTGAGGCCGCAATTTTTTCACAATTGGGTCAATCGAATAATGATAAATACATATTCATCTAAGAATGGACGCATCCCGATCCAATTGGCTTCCCAAAGTAGACAAACTGCGTATGAGTGGTAGGGGTCGCGAACAGGCAACCACCTGCTAGGCCGAAGTCGGCTAAACTGCGATAGCAGAGATGGACGACAACATTTGGGTGTAACCTGATACAGCACTGTTTCGAGCTTATTTGTCTTGATTCAGCCAATCATAGCATTGACTACCAGCTGGGTCTGGAAGCCCAAATATGCGCTCGAGTATGGCGCAGCTAGTCCACCAACTGAGTCTAGTAGATGACTTATAAGCACCACATCGAATCGAACTTCCTAAAAACCCCGTCATGTACCATTATCTGTCGTTGCATATCGGATATTCAAACAGAAATGGACACATCGATACATTGGCTTACGGAAGCAGAAAAGCTCCGCATTGGAGGTAAAGGTCACGAACAGACAACCAACTACCAGACTGAAGTAGTCGGCCACGTTATAACTGCAGAGGAGGAACGACAGAAAATGCGGGTGGATTGATAAATCTAGGCAGAGGGTTTGTCCGATCAAAAAGCGACAAGACAGCAGCGAGCCCGTGGCGGTGTGGTTAGAGGGTTGGACTTCGAACTAACAAGGTCGCGGGTTCGAAACTCGAGCGGGGCGACAATTTCTGGGCCAACGTTTGAATTGGGCATAACTAGCTGACGACGACTAATAAGCCAAAAAAGGCCATCCTAGTCTCCCTTGTCTTTGTCGGTAATGTCCTGCTCCCTAGATCATTAGCTGCTTTGCGGCGTAGGCCCGAGTGTGAGCTCCAAAGGCACCATGGACGGACGAGTGTGTCGTCTAACTGACCGGTGTATGCCTGTCTGCCATTGATAAATCTGTTTCGGGCTTATCAAGTAATATTTAAAAACGGGAACGCAAGGAGTCAACATGCTTTGCCACTTTCTATCGCTTTTATTGGGCACTGGCTTCAATTTTCTCTACAGTCCCTGTGCTCCTGGTCCAAGTTTCTAACAGATTTCCTATCTACTTGCAGCCGAAGACCTCACCAGAATCCTCTGCTACGGCGTTTCCCCTCTTCCAACCCAATCAGCCGATTCCCACAGACCGGCTAGATAGGGCTAGCCAACCCGAGCCCAGCATGGAAGAGACAAATCCACTGCAAAGACGGAAGGCACATGCACGACGGTCGCTAGTATTGCCTATTATTGGCAGGCCGTCGCAGCTGAGCCCTCTGCGAAGCAGTGTCCTTGACAACTGCAAGGAGGAGGTCATTCTTCGACCACCGCAACCACCACAACCGCTGCAGTCGAACTTTGATTCAGACCCCCACTCCGCTGACAAAGCCTTCGAGCTGGTCAGCCTATTGGAGCGAGTGTTACAGCTCCTGGAAGGTGCGGGTGCCACTTCCAATCTCTCGCTTGCCGACCTACAGTCCAGCTGCAACCAGTCCCTCCTAACCTCCCTCAAGGAGCTCGCACGGGAGCAAGCCACGCAGGCAGCCTATTCAGTGGACAAGGAAGGCAACCTGAGTGGCAGTGAATGCCAGAACACCTCGAATGAGGAAAACAGTACGGCTGCGTGTGAAACAATCCCAATGAGGTATGTTTATTGCTTAAGCTCTGCTTACTAACTAGCAGTTAGTAGATGTGTTTTACAAAACTAAACTGCTACGCTTCCCTTGCAGTGGACCATCAGAGCGTCTCGTGGAACTATTGCTGCAGCCCCAAGTTCAGCCACTGATGACAAAACTGTCCGTTCTCCTCCAAAAGGCGCAGCATCTTGGCACAACTGCACCAAGCACTGGAATATGAAAGATACCCC